CTCCATCATCTAACTTTTCTCTAACTAATCTCATCTGTCACTTCTTCTGTTCACTGTATTCCAGTCTATTGAGTTATTGAAGTTGTCTGAATGTTTCATCAGAAATATGTTGTGATTAAAAGTGTGGGCTTTAGAATTATACAGATATGAGTTTGATCCCTAGATTTCTCCACTTACTAGCTGTGTAACCCAGGGTATACTTACCAGCACTGTACCTCACTTATCTTGCCTGTATAATGGGAATAATCTCATAGGATTGTTTTCTGTGTGTGTAAGGGATGAGTGAAATAGTGCATGTGAAGAACTAGTAGATACTCAGTAGATACTAGATAGTATCGTTACATTGTTTTGTATCTTTTTCTAACCTTTGAATCCTTTCCCAGTAATGCTTTCCTTTTCCCCCTTGATAATCTGTTGAATGGCCTCTTTCAATTCAATTCAATTCCTATCAATTTAATTTAATTTCCCAAACCTTGAATTATGAAGCTTGCCCCCGGGCCAGACTGGGTTCTAGGACGTGGGAAGCCAAACATAAGAAAAATCTGGTCCCTGTCTTGGAGCCCTGGTGCTGCAGTGGATAAAAGCTAGGCTACTAATCAAAAAGTCAGCAGTTAAAATCTACCAGCCACTCCTTGGAAACCCTATGGGGCAGTTCTACTCTGTCCTATAGTGTTGCTATGAATCAGAATAAACTCGATGGCAAGGGGTTACAAAAGTATATTTCTACTTACATAAGGGTCCAGCTCCCCTGCTCTTTAGCCGGTTTAAATAAAACCTTCCTACTTCTGAAACACCTCTAAATCTTGTAGATATTTTGGTTGCTGTGCCCTTGGGAGATAGGTCTGTCTCCCTACTTAATTGTGAAAATTTCAAAGACAGGAACAAATCAAACTTGCTGCCACAGAGTTGATGCGAATTGAATTGAATTGAAAGAGGCTACTCAATTTCTCTTTTTTTCTGTCTATATATTCCAAGAAATTTTTCTGAAGTAAAGAGATGATTTATTCAAAGTATCTAACAGTATGACTAGGACACACACTTAAAAATGATATTTATTAATTTTTAGTTTCCTAAGTAAACTTTTCAACTGGAGAAAGAAAAAAATGACTGGACAAGGAGAATATGCAATCTACTATGCTAGATTTCTCTTTGCAAATTAATAAATTACTACTGTAGTTTATGAACCAGTTCCTTGTGGGTTTGGTTTTTACGAATCATTTCAATAACAAGGGATCATTCCTGCCAGCTCTAGTCATTTTTTCTCTACCTTACCAAAAACAATTAAACAGGAAAATTAATAGAAAAATGTGTCCAGAAACCCAAGAAAATAAAATCAGGTGGCATTGATATATCAATATTAGACATTGGATATATAGACAATCTGAAAAGGTTCATTTTACAAAACAAAAGATGAAACCTGCCTCTCAGTAGCATAACCCACTACCAAATCCACTGCCATGGAGTCACTTCCAACTCATAATAACCCTATAGAGCAGATGAGAACTGCCCCGTAGGGTTTCCAAGGCTATAAATCTTTAACAAAAGAGATTGCCACATCTTTCTGCAGAGCAGCTGGTGGGTTTGAACCACTATCCTTTGGGTTAGCAGCCACGTGCTTTAACCACTGAGCTATCAGGGCCCTCAGTAGGATAGTTCATAAATTCCAACTTTTATATTCAGATCCAGCAATACATTTTATCAAATATATCTTATAAATCCTGACAGAAATAATCATATCAATTTAAATGTATGATTCACTCAAGCATATTTCTGGAAGAAATATTACTTATTCATCAACTCCTTTCCTTTATTATTATTTAGTTTCTACTTATTTTTACTAAACTAATATAGGATTGTATTTAACAACAGTAAGTTTCCTTTCTTTTAATAGAGTGAAAACTTGTATAATTATGAAAATTTTAGATGGTTAAATCTTTTGCTATTTATTTTAATTCAAATACAGTGTATTATTACATATATTCAGAACTCAAACTATTCATCTTCATCTAAACCTTCAATTAAATTCCACAATGCAAACCTCTTGGCACTAGAACCACGTTTCATGTGTATTCAACTAAGCCTGTGTCTTGAAAGAGCGCTGAAGTTTGGGGGTTTTCTGGTGAGAATATTCATTCTGACATCACCTTAACCATGACAGTGATTGGCTGTTGGAAGGCCAAGAACAGTTTATAGCCAGCAGGAGCAAGTGAATGAGTGAGTGAGAGAGCAGAGGAAATAGTAAATCTGTGTCTTCCCACTCCCTCCTGTGAATCTGCCTCTTCACTCCGGGACTGAAAAAGGGTAAGATTTCATATGATAGCTTCAATATCTCAAAATCAAATAATCTTAGCTTGGCTTTGAATTTTTTTTAATTTAAATATTGATGTTATTGATTGTGTAGAATAGCTATGTAACACTTACTTGTCCTTGAACTAGTATCTCAGATTTTAAATTCTTTCCAAATGGCTTAACTTGTTAACTTAAGCAAGTAAGTTAATATTGTGCACATAAACTAGAAAATTATGCCTCATGTTTTCTATCTCTGCACATCGTAGATAACTGTTTCCCCATTCTGATGCATCACGAGGGTCTGCCTGAAACACTCTTTTGCAATTCGCAGATCTGCCTAGATGTAGGCATATTTCCCCATAAGATTATACCTAATCTGTCTTTCAGTTATATACAATATCTTTTCAATATGTTCTATACCTGATTTCAAAGTGTTAACATCCTATAGCTCTAAAGTCAGTATGGAAAATAGATAGTTCTAGAGAATCAAATAATGTTGGTAGCTTATCATACTCTTCCCAATGAAAATATCTAATTAAATTCTTAAAACTATCCTTTTGGAATGTTTGAATGGCTGTCTGGGATAGTAGGGTCACTATAGAGGTCTTCGGTTTTGATGAATCACAAAGTAAATAAAATTGTTGCCTAAATAAATTACTTGGTTCCTTTAATATTATCCCTGTCATGTTTTCACTAGTTATTTTCATGGTTTGTTATGAGACATTTATGTAACCAAAACCCTTTCTACACTTCCATGTATTTAACAGTTTTTAACTCTTTAAAATAGTATAATTATTCCAGCACTTTTCAAGAAGCTGCAAATAGTGTTCCTATTTGCTGACGGGCTTAAACATGGGTGGCAAAGTTCAAAGCATTATACAAAGCACCCCAATAGCAGCTTCTTAGGCTGATGGGAGCCCTTCCAGGGCTTCTTTATCTTCTTATGGCCATCAAAAACTTTTATAACACACAGAAGACTGTGAGGAGAGCGTGGAGGTATCAAGATTGAAAGACTCACTCTGTCACATAAACAGGGTGTGACTTAGGACCAAAGATAGCATCTCCATGCCTCAAGCCCTAGTCTGTATAATGTTTATTTTAGTGGCAAGTACTCAATAAGGATGCAGTAAACCTTGGGTGTTGATGACAAAATGTAAAATCCACCCACCAGGTATAATATATGACACAAGTTTTGTACATTTTAAATATTACTTTTTGAAGTGTGCTTACAGAGAAATTGCCATCATCATTACATATTGCTTCCAAAATGTTGCCCAAGCTGTCACTATGTAAGAGAAAGCGGTCTCAGTTCAAAGTGTATGTAAATCTAAGTGGGTGGGTGTTATTAGGCTTTGAACCTCTATTAAAATAGATTTTTTAAATAGAATTTTATTAAGTAGTATAAAATTAAAGTAGAATAGGATTTCACTCTCTCTTTTTACTTACGAGGAATGTATGTGGACCTGAGGATCTTGCATGGTTGCAAATCCCAGGACTGTCCAATAACTATTCCCACTTGAATAATTGCATCTCAAAGCACAGTCACTGATGCCTGGAGTACCTGGGGGGAGAGCTGGAGGAGGAAAAGGGGCGTTAGAAACAGGAGTGGAAGAAAGTGGAGGAAAGAGGGGAGAATATGGAGTGGATGCTATAAATAGCAGTTTTCACCCCATTAGCCTTCAATTTTTCCATAGAACTGAAGCTACCAACTGTGCCTATCATCCTGACCCTGGATAGCCCTCAGTCCAGCCCATGATAGTCACCCTTACTAGTAGACAGGAAGCTTAAATTTGAGGAAATTTCCTCTGACATCCCAAGGTGAAACTCTGATGAATTCTTCTCATAGAATCATCTTTAGACATGATTGCTGGGTGCTCCATTCGATGAAGAATAGCACTTCACATGTTACAGATCATTTCAGAATAACATAAACCCCAACTATTCCGAGATAGTCCATAGGAAAATGTCATCTAGTCTCCAATTTACACATGAACTTTTAGCTCAAAACCTATAGATAAGCTGGAAACCGTGTGAAGGGTAATAAATCATACCCTTCATAAAAGCAATCCTTCCAATGTAATTGATTTCTGCTTCGTTTTTAGTTACAAACAAAGCATATAACTACACTAGTAATTTGATTCACTTAACTGGTATTCCTAAATCAATGCTATTGGAACTCCACTTTTCTCCCATTTTAAAGTACTTGATGCATTCAGAGTTTCTTGGCGCAATTCAAATGACCTTGCAATGACGGGTCACGGCAAATTAGTTAAAACCAAATATGGAACTTGAGATTACTCAGATGAGTAAAGTAAATCTTATACCACTTTAATGGAAGGAACAATTTTAAAACAAAAGCAGGAATTTGGTCTAAATTAATCAAAATTATAATTACACAGAAATTGCCAAAACCAAACAACCAAACCTATCACCACTGAGTTGATTCCAACTTATAGTGACCCTATAGCACAGAGTAGAACTGCCCCATAGGGTTTCCAAGGCTGAAAGTCTTTACGGAAACAGACTGCCACATCTTTCTCCCGTGGAGCAGCTGGTGGGGAGCAGTTGAATGCTTTAACTACTGCACACCAAGGCTCCTCACACACAAATTAAATACTTCATATTTGAGTATGAGAAAAAAAAGTTTTGCTTTTAGTTTTAATATTTATTAATCTTACTTCTTCATTAATTCCAGAAGCAATCCCACCAAAATGAAGACTGCCTTAATTTTGCTGAGCCTTTTGGGAGTGGCCTGTGCTTTCTCAGTAAGTTCTTTTATAGAATCTTTCATAGTAATTTCCATCTATGTCTTTTTTATGCAAAAGTAAAACTATGTAATAATGAAATGTTCTTTTAAACAGATGAAACATTTACATCGAAGAGCCAAATTAGAGGATTCTGAAGAAAATAGGGTAATTAATTTTAGCACACTTCTTTGGCCTGATTTCTTTAACTCTAGATTTATTGCACATTAAATGTGAATATCTCATTTATTTTGTTTATGCAGGTCTTTAAGTTCAGGCCACAGTATTATCTTTACAAGCATGCCTACTTTTATCCTCCTCTAAAACGATTTCCAGTTCTGGTGAGTATAAAGATCAATTTCTCTTCTCAACAGTCTACCATGACCTAATATATTATAAAAGGGATCAAATTTAAGTACAAGTCACCTAAATTCAACTGTCACTTAAATTCAGCCAGAAAGAGTGCTTACTACAAACAATTTGTTCTTAATATAAGCAAAATAAATTTGCTTCTAAGTTCTCTTTTAAGACCGACAGAGACAGAGATCATTTAGCCCAGTCTGGAATGATGTAATAAAGACAAAACATGTGGCCCATTGAGTGAAGCTATTTTGACTAAGACCAACCAAAACCAAACCAAACCCATTGCCAGTGAGTTGATTCCTGCTCATAGTGACCCTATAGGACAAAGTAGAACTGCCCCATAGTTTCCAAGGAGCGCCTCATGGATACAAACTGCTGACCTTTTGGTTAGCAGCCATAGCACTTAACCACTACACCACAAGAGTTTCCTTGACTAACTCATGACCAAAATTGAACAATTTATCAGTGGCTGTTAATTCAGTCAGTGATAAGGTCACTAACTGTCATGTTATAGTTGATTCAGGATTGTCATACAGCTATGTTTTACATCCAATAATTTAGAACTCTTTAATTGATAGGAAAAGAGTAAATTGACTTTGAAAACAACAGGGACCATTTTTTAAAAAATCCTTATAATCATTGGTGATTGTTGCAGAAAGTTTTTTGAACCTTTGACCTGTGTAGATAATTAGAGCAATAGAGGCACAGACTCCGATATTGACACTGCCGTATGTCATACGTTGGAACATAATTATAATGAAAGCACGGTTCAAGAACTGCAGAGGAAAGGGAGAAATTTATGAAATGAACTAAACAGTCTGTAAGAAAAACAAAATATCCCTTAAAATTGGTAAACAAAAAGAAGTCACCACTACAAATAACAGTTTCAGGTTTTTTCTGGGTTACATATGAAGAAAGCCTTTGAAAACTGGGTGTCAGTTTGTTGGTTTTAAATATACAACAACCCAAAATAGCACTATTTTTATTATTATACAGTTTGAGTTCAGGGCACCAATTATGCATCGTTTGAACTGAACTCCTGAGACAGTAAAAGCAGTGAGAATGTTGAAAATGATGCCTCAGCACAGTGGCTTGGCACAGTATTTACCGTATGTTGGCCTAACCAATCTCTAACTCATACAATGATAGGAAATGAAAATCTTAAAGTATTTCTAGCACTGTTATAATTATGGGGATCATGTGTGGCCACAGAAATATGAGCATAAAAGATACAATAGTTGTGGGTTCTTAGAATTGTCTCCCATTCTTTGGTCTACCTCAGGCCCATAAATAAATAGTGCTCACTTGAAAGTTTGCTTCCTTTTCATTCTTAAACTAAATGGAAATGGTAATAAACATAAGCTTCTGACTAGCCCCTCAACTTTCCTAAAACTTCAGATATTTAGAGATATCCCTACCCAGAAATTTTTACAGACATATATACATAGTCCAATTAAAATGCCATAATGAAAAGATATTAGGAGAGCAGGTTATATTTTATATTATTGATAGATTCAAAGTTTATGTATCTTTAAATGATCTTTAGTATGAAAATATTTACAAATTATACTCAAATAGGTCTACCTCAGCTAATAGAGAATTTGTAAATAAGATGTTGTTGTTTGCAGCTGTGTTGCTTCCAACCCATAGAGACACTATAGGACAGAATAGAACTGCCCTATATGATTTTCAAGGCTGTAATTTTTAGCGAGGCACACTGCCACATCTTTCTCCCGTGGAGCAGCGGGTGGGTTCTAACTACCGAACTTTCGGTTAGCAGCTGAGCACTGAACTATTGCACCACCAGGGATCCTTGTAAGCAAGAGAGTTATTTTAAAATAAAACCCAATAAAATATATTTCCTTATCCATCAGTCTGATCTAGTATTTATGATCTGTTCTCGTACTTTGCATAGTTTGATTTCCAGGAACTTTTTTCTTTACATGACTACGTATTTTCCATAGCTCTTTATTGTATATTCTCTTGCATATAATAAGCTAGGTATTTAGCGCCAAAGTTTTCACCCAAAAATGTATTAAGCCATTTTGGCTTTGAAGTTCATATTCTATTCAAACAAATTAGTGGTTATATACAATCATTTCTAAAATAGCAATTGGTGCTAATTATATTGATTGCAAAGCTATCAACAATCTACTATAGCTTATCTATCTGCTTGGCTACAGAAATAAACTTACAAATAAGCTTACCACTTTAAACATTTTTAATTGAGAAAATTGTTTCTTTATGAGTCAAATGATATTTGATTAGTGTTTGAACTCTTAAGAGGGCAGGAACTATATCGTATATACTTTTATCAACCTCATCCCACCTATCACAGTGCTAGATGCAGGGTAACTGCCTGTATTTACAACTTCATTTGTTGCTGCTACCCTCTCTCCAGTCCAGTATTTGGAATATATATTTTGGATTGAATAAACAGAGAGATAGAAGAAAGTGTAATGGTAAAAAAAACAATTTTATACATACACGAAAGACGTCTGGAAAAATCAGTGGGACTTAGTGACAAACTGGTAATAAAGGATAAATGAAAGAATTAGAAAAAGGGAAAATGTCAAGACTTCAAGTTATTTCATAAAGTTTTTAAATTGTTTTTACTGTAGACACTAATCAAAGAGTGATATGGTTGGGTTAGAAAGAAAGCAAGAGGAGAGGAAGTATGTAAAATGACTAAAAACATTCTCATTTTAAAAAGTAGCTCCGGCTGCATAAATATACTGTCCTCTGTATTTAACTAACAAATAAAAATAGTTTGAATATAATATTCTGCTCTATTCACCCTCTGGGCTAGGGAATAACCATGAAGTTTATGGCAGTGAAAGAGCAAGTCTAATTATCCTCTTTCGTCCCAAAGTTATTCTTGGCTCAAGGAGACAAGCATTCCCTTTCCTTGGGCAGCTGATGCGGCTACCTGAAAAATGAGTCCTGAACAAGACTGGGACATGAATGTTTTCTCATATAGGATCTCTGACCCTGAGGTTAGAAACCCTTCTGCAGATATATTTTCCAAATGTAGGGTTCTTAACTGGGTCATCAGAATCAAGGTAAAATTTGCAGGAAATGACAGAATCTTAATTTAGGTACCATTTGCATATCTGTTGCCTTTAGGAGTGGTTTTAGGAGAAAGGGAAGGAAAATCCAATTTAGATTATTATTGGGAGAAAGACGATGAATCTCCTCTACTGTCTTAAAGGCTCTGAAAACACGTTTAGATTTACATTTCCTTTTCAAAAAGTACCAAAACTCATTCAGTTATAATTAAACTTTTATATACAGAATCCTTGATTTGTTTTCATTTAGTACTGAGATATTTAAGGAAATGGTGCTGTATAAATTCCTAAGTGAGTATATGAATAAATTTTTCTCTTATATAACTTCCACCTCACTTGTATAGATTAACCTCACTCTAGGTATTACAGTCATGCATCGCATAACATCGGTTCGGGCAACGTACTACTGCATATACGTCCGTGGTCCCATAAGATTATAGTAGAGTTCAGAAATCCCAATCAGAGAACGAGACTTAGCAGACGTAATCGAACACAGCAAACGCAACAGCTTCTCACACGTAACATGTGTATCTCATGGCTCTTGTACACAGTCAGGTCCCGGGTTACAAACAAGATCCATTCCTAAGTCTATCTTTAAATTGAATTTGTAGATGAGTCGGAACAGGTACAAAAAAAAAAACATTGCCGACAAGTCGATTTCCACTCATAGCAACCCTGTAGAGCAGAGTAGAACTGCCCAATAGGGTTTGCAAGGCTGTAAATTTTTACGGAAGCAGACTGCCACATCTTTCTCTCAGGGAGTGGCTGGTGGGTTCCACCTGCTGGTTAGCAGCCAGAATGCTTAACCATTGTGCCACCAGGGGCTCCTTGGAGCAGGTACATATGGTTCTTATGAAGCGTCAGTTAGCCAAACGTTTGTCTTAGTATGTAATATATATTTTACTTTTCTATCCATATAAAACACTTAAACACTGCCAAACCAGGCAATGTTTCTATGAGAGTCACCAAGCAGTGCGTGCGTTCATTCTTACAAACCATTGTATGTATTTAACTCAAATTTTTAATGTAATAGGCTTTATGGCAGTCTGTTCTTAAATACGAGTTGTCTGTAAGTCGGACATTTGTAAGCTGGGAGTCGACTGCCTGTAGTATGGTGCCCGCGTAACTTCCAAATCACATAACGTCCTATTTCACAGACTGTATTGTGAACATTTAGTGACATATAACTGTAGTTTTAATTAGATTTAAAAGTACAATAAATTATATGTAAACTTAATTTCTTTAAATGAAATTCTAACTTAAATCACCTGGAGAAATTGTTATTTAAAAGAATCATCTGATAACTACATATATTTTATAATATGTCTAATCATCATTTCATTTATCTTTTATAAAGAAAATGAAACAGTATGATCTATGTCTTAGCCCCAGATCTGCCTTGAACTGTTTGGAGAAGTCACAGCTTTTCTAGACTTTGTATTCCTTCTCTGTAAAATAAAGAAATTGGACCAGATAATCCTCTTACTCAGAGTCAAACAATTTTATTATTCATTGCTCTAGTTTTTCCTATCAAAACGTTTCAACATCTTGGCAGTGCTTTGGGGGTTTAAAATGGGGTATCTAAATCTATATCTTGATGAGTAAAGTAGTTCTTTCTCTCTCACTTCATTTAACATATGCCCAATCTCATATCTTTCTCACATTAACATGAAACTTGTTCTAGGTAAATAAATCAACTAAGAAGGTAATTAGTCTGTACAAATATTTGTATGTATTTTATCATATTACAATCATCAGGAAAAATAATTGCTATTTAATATGTGCATGTGTGTGTGTGTGTACACGTGTGTGTATATATGTGTGTGTGTATATATATGTGTATACTGTTTTTTAGAGCAATAGTGACTCATCTGAAGAAAACGGAGATGGCAATAGTTCAGATGAGGAGGAAGAAGCGGTAAGAAATTTCTGCAGTCTTTTTCATAACAAACCATGGAGCACAACAAACAAATAGGAAACTAGTCTACTGTAGTCTGGAGTCAGCAAATAGCTGTTGCCAGCTCACCCACTGCCCACAGTCTTCTATTTTGGACAAGGAGTGTTATTTAAATTAGAATCAACTTAAATGACTTGTTTGGAACACTGTTGCAGTTTGGGGTTGAAGTGGAGCACAAACAAAAACAAAAACAGAAGTATTTCCATTTTAAGTGGAAAAAAAAGTGTAAATTCTTATAAAAGGTAATAGAAAATGTTTTTTATGCTTATGTGGATAGAACATGATAGTCAAAACCAAAACCAAACCCACTGCCGTCGAGTCGATTCCAACTCATAGCTACCCTCCAGGAACAGGGTAGAACTGCCCCATAAGGCTTCCAAAGCTGTAAATCTTTACAGAAGCAGACTGCCACATCTTTCTCCTGCCTAGCTGCTCATGAGTTCGAACCGACTATCTTTCAGTTAGCAGCCGAGTGCTTAACCACTGCACCATGACAGCTCCTAACATGATGGTGGAAGAAGAGTAAATAATAATCCTAAACTCAGTGCAATGTTGGTTTTATGGACCGAACTTAATAAAAATTTAATTTGCAGTTCAGTCATGTATAGGAAACTAATGGGCACAGCAGCCCAAAAGCAAAGATGAGAAGACAGGAAGGGACAGGAAAACTGTAAAAATGGAAACGGGGAACCTGGGATGGAGAAAGGGAGAATGTTGGCACATTGCGGGGTTGGCAACCAATGTCACAAAACAATTTGTGTATTAACTGTTTAATGAGAAACTAATTTGCTATGTAAACTTTCCCCTAAATCATAATTAAAAAAGAAAAAAAATTCAATTTGCTAGGTGAGTAGTATGTGAAAGTTAATGGTATAGCCTCTGTGATGTTATTTTGATTCATCTGCCTTTCTTGATCCATAGCGTAGGGTTGTTCTTTTTAATAGGAATTTCATATGCCTTTTTGTCTAACAGTAAAATTAATGTTCGTATAGAAATGCAAATATTCAAGATGTAAAAATAAATAATATGTAAGATAAAACTCTTCCTATATAGTACTACAAACTATTCAATGGCTAAATCACATCTATATATCTTAGAAAGTATGCTAACATCTTCATCAGTGACACTCTTGCCCAAGGAAATATACCGATTAGGATAAATTTTCCTGGATAGTCAAATATAGCTATTCACTGGTTTGGGAACCTTCTGAACTCAGGTATTTTAGGTGTTATTTATGAATGGACATTGGCAGTCAAAAATGGATCATGCATACACATCTGCTATCTTGAAAACAAAATGGTGTAGGAACTTTAAAGGCCATAAATTATTAGGTTGTTGTTTTATTTTTGTTTTTTTTTTAACCACAAAAGTAACATTTCCAGTACTATAATTTACTCTAATCACTTGAAGGAAGGCCCTACTGGAACAACAAGCCAGTACCAGGAAAAATGTCACCTACCAAATCTTACAAAATTTTGCTTGGATTTCCACATAGTAATCTTACAAAAGAACTAAGGTAATCCATTTAACTGCAGTTGTTTGCTGTAGAGTGATTGTAAAATTGCCTTGCCAATGAGATTTCCCAATTAGATTGCATACCCTTTTGACAACAGTTCTTCGTTAGTTGTGGGTGGTGGTTGGAGATGGAGAAAGATTAGGGCGCCTCTGGAAATTTCACAAAATGCATACACACCCAAACTTTTGCCAACAATTTATGGACATTTGTGGTCCTCCCAGAATTTATCGGCAAGTGTCCTATATCGCAGAAACTAGGGAGTTTAGGTTACAGTCTCTGCTTTTGGGAGAAACAACGTCTTATCCTGTTTTGTATCTCCTCACACTGCCTATCATAGTGCCTTATGGTAGGTACGTGTGGTACCTAATACACGTTTGGTGGTTTGATTTTGAAACTTCAGAGGAATAAATGCTCCATAGATCATTCTTTAAAAGTGAGAATAAAAAAGTACATGACTAAAACTGAATCTTCCATCTAAAGAAATTATGAAACCTCTTTTTTCCCCCATATCTTCCCTAAAATTCCATTGGTGATTCAGGTTGAGTACAGAGTCCCTAGTAACTGTGTTCACATAAGCAAATGAAATATGCTTAGGCATATTTTTTATTTTTTGATCATACATTTTGGAGCCCTGGTGGAGCAGTGGAGCCCACAGTGGTTAAGAGCTATGGCTGCTAGCCAAAAGGTTAGCAGTTCAAATCTACCAGCCACTCCTTGTAAACCCTATGGTGCATTTCTACTCTATCCTATAGGGTCGCTATGAGTCGGAATCGACTCGACTGCAATGGTTTTTTGTTGTTGTTGTTTGTTTTGGATCATACATTTTATCATTCTCCTAAACTATTCAACCTCACTTTATAAAATTTTTTATTGAAATATAATGTATATAACATAATTATCGTAAGTATACAGCTCATTGAATTTTCAAGAAACTGAACACACAAGTGTACCAGCACCCCCATCAAAAAGGCCTTGTACCTTGTGCTCCTTTCCGTTCAATAACCAACTTAATGGTTAACAGATATTATTTTTGCTTATTTCTGTATATTACATAGATGGAATCATACAGCATGTACTTTTTGTGCATGGCTCCTTCTGCTCTCAACTTCAGAAATTGATCTGTATTGTTCTGTAGTTACAGATCGTTCATTCTCATTGTCAGTAGTCTGTTCTGTGAATAATAACGTATTATTATTCTGTTGATGGGCATGTGGGTAATTTCGAAGTTCGGGTATTACAAATAGTGTTGTTATGAACATTCTAGTACTTCTGGTGCACATATACATTCATTTCTGTAGGGTATTTTACCTAGAAGTGAAATTTGTGAGTCAAAATATATACATACATTCAACCTTAGTAGACGTAGTCAAACAACGTTCCAAATCAGTTGTACTAATGTAAATTCCCACCATTAGTGCATGAGGGTTTCAGTTGATCCACATTCTCACTAACGCTTGTTTCTTTCAGTCCTTTTAGCCTTATCTACTGGGTTAATAGGGAGTCACTGGGTAACCCAAATGGTTAAGTGCTTGGCTACTAACCGAAAGGTTTGGTGGTTTGAATCCACCTAGAGGTGCCTCAGAAGAAAGGCCTGGCAATCTCCTTCTGAGAGGTCACCGCCACTAAAAATGTTATGGAGTACAGTTCTACTCTGACACACATAGTGTTGCCATGATTGAAATCGACTCACCAGAAACTGGTTTGGTTTTTGGTTTAGTGGGTTAATAAAGCTTTTTAAATCATTAATTATTGCTAATTTGTCTATTATAATAAGATATCTGAAACCTAGCATCCACCAACAAACTCACCTATTTTCCTTTTTAACTCATTGCAGGCAGGGCATCTGTAGACTAAGTATGTAGGAAAAGAAATGGTGTTTTAGGAGAAAACGTGGTGGTGGGAGATTGGGGCTCTAGTCCTCTAGTCATGACCCTGCCACTAGTGAACTGCCATCTATTTGATCTCATGCAAGTCATTTATCCCCTTGGACCTCAGATTTTGAAACAAGGGTACAGAACCCAACTAGTATATTTTACCTTACATAAGGCTAAGGAATGTATGGCATGGCAACATACAACCAGATGTGCAGAAATAATTATACAAATATTTTTGAATTGATAAAACAGAAAGCAGATCTAAAATACTCTGTGGTAAATATGATGAGATAACTTTGAATTGAGTTCTTAGAAGTGAGAAATGCAAAATGACATAAGGGACGGCAGAATTGTTACCTTTGGGTGATGAGCTGGCTCAGGGATACCAAGTTCTGTCCAATAATGGTTCACAACTCCAACAGATCTTGAATTATTTTCAGGTAAAAATAACTTTTCTTGCTACAAATATTTTCATTAGGAGTCTTCAAATGAAGAAGAAAACAATGAAGAGAATGAAGAGTCTAATGAAAATGAAGATGAAGAATCTGAGGCTGAGAACACTACGCCTTCTACTGCAACACCTGGCTATGGAGACGAGACCACACCCGGAACGGGGAGCATAGGGTTAGCCGCAATCCAACTTCCTGAGAAGGTAATAATTCGCCACTTAAATCGATTTTTATTTCTTTATGGAAGGTAAAGTTATCCAGACGCAGTACGCATAGTGTTTCATATCTTCACTAACTTGTTGACAAAGCAAGGTAGATTCAGTTTTCCTGTATACATATAAGAAAAGTTTTCTCAGGCAATGTCTCCTCTCCATGTTATTACACTGACTTTCTACATATACAGAAGACTGAAGACAATTATCTTAGAAATGAATAAAAGGTCCTGACAGAAGTGTGACCAGTTTGGTACAATTCCATTTCAGGGAAGAAGATTCCAAGATAGAAAAAGTGAGCAGAAAAGTGATAGGAAGCATCTCCCACACAAAAGGCTTATCAGGCACATTTTGTCCCCATCAAAACCCAGTAAAATGATTGCAACCAATATCACCAAACAATATGTGTATAAATTTTTGAATGAGAAATTAACTTGAGCTATAAACTTTCACCTAAAGCACAATAGAAAAAAAAAATGAAAATGATACTTGGAATTTTTAAAGCTCCATCAATTCTTTTGTAAATTATTTTGCTTTAGTTCAAAATTACATCTAGACTAAAGCAGTCAGTACAGGATACTATGTTGGATTAAGTGACGGTCTTAAGTTTAAATTTTTTCACACCTAGATTTGGATTCTTTCAAACTTTTCCTCACAGGCTGGTCATATAGGAAAAAAAGTTACCAAAAAGGAGGAAAGTGATGAAGAGGAAGAAGAGGAAGAGAATGAAAATGAAGAAAATGAAGCTGAAGTGGATGAAAATGAGCAAGGCATAAACGGTACCAGCACCAACAGCACAGATGCAGAGAATGGCAATGGTAGCAGTGGAGGAGACAATGGAGAAGAAGAAGGTGGAGAAGAAAGTGTCACCGAAGCCAATGCAGAAACAGCCACAATGACTGGAGAACAGGACAATGGCGGCGTGGAGACAACAACTTCTCCAAATGATGGGTTTGAGCCCACAACCCCACCACAGGAGATCTATGGGACCACAGCCTCACCATTTGGAGAGATCACCACCACTGGATATGAGGGCGAGTATGAACAGACAGGCACCAATGAATACGATAATGGATATGAAATCTATGAAAATGAGAATGGGGAACCTCGTGGCGACAATTACCGAGCTTATGAGGATGAGTACAGCTACTATAAAGGGCAGAGCTATGATGGCTATGGTCAGGATTATTACTACAACCAGTGAAGCTCAAGCCTGGGCTGAATTCATCCATTTTAGTGTTGTGTGTGGCTGCCATTTTCAAAGTTCAACTCAGGAAGGTGCAATGTAACAAGTGTTCGTATAATAATGTGGAATGGTGCTACTGTTCCAAAGTGTCTTTTCTGTAATTGCTTCTGTGAGTAATGGGCTTCTTGCTGCTTTCCCCTAGTATGTTATGGAAAGGTCATTGTAAAACAGGGCCATTTATTAAGTAGTAAACCAACCCATGTGATAGAGGTCCCTTGAATGTTTTGAGGTTGTAATTCTATAAATAGTATTTTTAACGTGTTTGCACTATTGCTAACTACTAAAACATACCTTCTGTGCAAGAAGTGATGCTAAGAAGAGATTCATTGACATTAATGGCACCATATACAATATATATGTAGTTCTTTAATAACACTACCTATCCAACACTGTATATTAGGTTTAATTATCATTCTTATGTATTTCTGTGTAAACATTATGTATATTCTATCAATGGATTATATTTCCAATAAAAATGCAATCCTTCAAATGTGTTATAATTAAGAAGAAAAATGGAAAAGGGAGGAAACAAATGGATGACAAGTCAGATAAAGGACTGAAAGCTCATTCCCACTATGGTTTGCAACTCAAAATAATTATACACTTTTTTATTTTAAATAAATCAACATTTTGCAATGCTTATGGCCAGAATCAGCCATATACATCAGGGGAATAAATGACTCCTGCTTAGGGTTGCCAGATTTAGCAAACAGAACTACAGGATGCCTACTTAAAATTGAATGTCAGATAAGCAATGAGTAATTTTTTTCTGTATAAGTATGCCCCATGCAATATTTGGCTACTGTGAAATAGTTGGAATATACTTAGACTAAAAAATTATTTATTATTTATTGGAAAATCAAATTTCATGGAGTATCCTCTATTTTATTTGACAATCCTATTCCTACTTGTTTAGATTTGAGGAGAGGTCAAGAGTTGGAGTGAGGTAGAAAAGCTCTTATGCACACATACACACACACACAACACAGACAGACACTAAAGAGGGCTGATATACAAAGCCTCAAAAGCAAGTTACGCTTATAATAAAAATCTGAAAGCAAATTTTCAGAAGGAAGTAGTGAGGGAAAGTAGATAGTGGGATGGAGCAAGAAGAGCAAGAATTCATTCATCTTTTTATTTAATTAATTTATAAAATGTATGGAGCATCCAGTATGGAAACAGTCAGTATTTAGACATGGAAACTACAAAAAGGAAGAACACTGTCCTCAGAATAATTTTCATCTGATAACTAGCTGTTATAAGGGCTTTACATGTGTCAGCTCATTGTTCCCTAACTTTTTATTTTACAAAATATCAAGCCTTCAGAAAAATTGAAAGACTAGTACATGAGCACCTTTATTATACCTTTCAGTTAGTTTCACCTATGGTTAACATTTTGCCATGTTTACATTATCTCTCTCTATTTCTGTGTGCCTTTCTTCATATAGCTATACTTTCCTGTCAAACCATTGAAAACACCATGACTTCATGATGCTTCAGCCCTAAATAACGTCAGCATTTAGTATAAGAACAAAGAAGTCTCCTATATACCCAAAATATCATCATTCTCAAGAATTTGACATAGATACAATAGTATTTTCTAATATAGCATCCATATTACAAATTTCTCAATTATATCAGTAACATCCTTCATTGTTAGCACCTTTAATTCTCACAAAACTCTATGAGGTAGATGTTTTTGTTATCTGCCATTTTATTGACAGAGGAACAGAGAGTTTACCCAGGTTGCTCAAGGTCACAAGCAGCAAAGCTGGGATTTGAACAAAGGCAGCCTGGCTTTAGAATTTTTGCAGTTTGCCATTATGCACTATTCATTAGCTTATATTCATCAGTATTGAATGCCTGAGCTGTTGGTGGACAGGAAATCTCTAATGATGAAAACATTGTTGGAAAATAAGCCTTGTCCTAAATTACAACTTGCTTAGAACCAGCCATGTTTTATGACTTGAGCCCTAAAGAACATTTCCTAAAACAAGGATATTCTCTTATTTTTGGTATATATTTCCATATAGGCAGCTTGGTATTGTGCAAAATACATGAGCTCTGAAGTTAGACAGGCTTGAATAATGGTTTTATTGAGAGTAAATTAATTTACTTTTCTAGTCTTCTTCATCTCCTATATGAGAATAGAGACTTGTTCAGAGTCTGGCTCAGGATCATCATATTTCTCATCTCTCCTTCCATTCCCCATCTTAACATTTAACACTAGTACATCCAAACGTAACGGAATTCACTGGTCATAAAAAGTTTTTTGGGAACCAACAAAACATTTTTTCTTTGTCCTCATGCATCTTTGTAAAACAGAAAGTTTTGATGAAACTAAGGCCTTGGGACTAGTGTGCTCAATATTGCTTATGAGGCATTACACATAATCTTAACTATGCATCTATCACAAACTATCTGAATATATTCTAGAATCATCAAATATTAGATTTGGAAAGGATCTTTGAAGCCTAGGAAGTTTATTTATTAATGTTCAGAAGTTATTCATTTTTATATAGTAAGATTGGTTAATCATTTCCTTTATGGCTTCTTCCTTTCCTTTTGACATATGTAATGTGGGTGTCCATTCCCCACTGACCTACCTCAGGGACATGAGCTAGCTTACTTTAATCTCTGAGTGTAGGGTGGTGACTACTCCCACCATTGCTCCAAACATCTAGAAGTCTCCCTTAGGTTAGTGGCTTTCTCAAGGGGAATTTGGCAAAGCATTCACTTGAAGTAGCCAAAAGCAGTACAGGAAAGGGTCATGCCTAGACTAGACACCAGCATGAGCGGGCAGTCAGATGGTGATTTCTGTTGACAATCACCCAGGACCTAGATGGAAACAATGTGAAGTTTTCAGATGAATACTAAAAGGTTGACTGGGGAAGTCTGTGTTTAACACAGCTTCTGGGTACCTTAACCTCTATAGCAGTTCTCTCAGCCAAATTACACGAAACTTTCTGAGTGGTGGCTCCCCTTTTGAAATATTTTCCTACTCAGAACCACATGTTAGAGTCCCAGCCTCCTTCTGCCATTTTAGATAGTTAACCTCCCTTGCCTCTTACTTCAATCTCCTTTCACTTTCCCCACTAAAAGCTCTATTTTCTGTATTTCCTTGATAGTATCCCTTGATGGCTCATCTGGAAGACACGATGAAAATCCAAGTTATTATAAAACAAACAAGGATAGTTTTATTCTTCCCTGAGAAAGATAATCCTTCCCCTGAGAATGAATCAAATAACTTTTTTAAATGGAGAATAGATAAAAGGTGAAATAAGTTATGTTCATATTTGAAGAAAATTTTAGGTTGGGTATTTATATTCTGCTACCCACAGAAAATTATTTTGCCATCATTCAAATATAAAAACTAATGTGTGTCTATGACATAGCTCTAAACCCAACCCTTACCCATTGCCGTTGATTCTGACTCATAGCGACCCAACAGAGCTCTAGATGTCCATTAATATTTGTTCTCCATTTCTCTGTCTCAGAGTAAGAGAACCGTAGTTTTTATCTGGGCATGTGGCTACAGATAATATTCCGATTTCTTCCACTTCCCTCTAAGTTAGATATGTCCTTTTTATTTACATTGTGGCCATGTGTACATGTGATGTGTATAATTTCTGGGCTATGTCCTAAAGAGGATTGCTCTCTTCCCCTCCTCCCAATTTTTCTCTCCTGCTGCCTGCAATTCAATCACCGTGATAAGCAATCTATGGCAGTGTGAATGAAAGCAACAGTGTGGAGATGGCAGGATGACAAGGTAGAAAAAATCTGACTCCCAGGAGCACCATACCAATCCTGGACACCCTACTTCTGGAAACAAACTTGTATCTTCTTTAAGTCACTGTTATGGTGGGTCTCTGTTATTTAAACCCAAGCTATATTCTAACTCAGTAGTTCTCAAAGTGTGGCCGTCAGATCAGCAGCATCAGCATCACCTGAGAACTTGTCAGAACTGAAAATTCTGGAGCTCCACCCAAGACCTACTGAGTCAGAAACTCTGGGGGTTGGCACTTTGAAGTTTGGGAACCACTATTCTGGGTGGCACAAAAGATTAAGCGCTCAACTACTAGCTGAAAAATTGGCAGTTCAAACTCACCCAGAGATGCCTAGGAAGACCAATAAGAGATGGGTGTTGGTGAATAAATACACCAGCTTTCTATCCCTTGAAGGGAACACTGAGATGTGTTCTACACAGTCTCTTAGTGGATCCTCAGAGAGATTAAACCCTGTTGTCCACAGTGGTAAACTCTTCAGCACACCCTTTACTGGCTTTTCTCTCTTCCTCCCTCACTGCCTCGCTGCACTACCTGGGCTTCCTGGGATCACTTCCCACATCAACTACTAAAAAAAACCAAACTCGTTGCCATCGAGTCAATTCCAACTCATAGCGACCCTATAGAATACAGTAGAACTGCCCCATAAGATTTCCAAGGAGCAGCTGATGGATTTGAACTACTGACCTTTTGGTTAGCAGCCGAGCTCTTAACCACTGAGCCACCAGGGCTCCAACCCAAATCAACTAGCTGCACCCAAATCCTTATCTCTGTATCTGCTTTTGGGGGAGCCTAACCTTCGGCACTATTTCATTACTTCACAGCTGAAATTCAAGCATTTTTCCTTCATGTAAGAAAAGATGCCTTTGTCATCAGTAACATGGTTACGTATTCATGGTAGAGACTTGCCCAATTGCATAAACACATTAAATACATCCCTGCCTCTCCAGCAGCACACCGCACCAAAAGAAAACAGTAGACTGTCAAGCCTCAGACTTTCAAGTGATTTAAAAAACATTGACAAAATATTTTAAAACCTGAGGTATATATAGTTTGAATTTGTCTTTTGTAAGCCTTTTAAGAAATTTTTTAAATCAAATTAAAACAAAAAGATGAATAAAATATTTATCTGTGCTGTTTTTGTTATCGTTGCTGTTATTGTTGCCACTCTTCCATAGACTTGGCCAGTAAGGAGCCAATGAGTTCAAGTGGATT